TAAAATAATCTACCAGATGGACATTAAAATAAAAATTAGGCATCTACCCTATTGTTGTATCATCATGAAACTTGGTCATTGTGTCTAGAGATTAGATGACAATACAATATTATTGTACCATCGAACTGGGTGCTTACTCTTGAAACCAATCTCAATGTCAATGCAATTTCAATCCAATAAAATCTCAATAAGTATGCAATGTCAAAACTATACAATCCCTATCGTTGCTGCTAAAGTAGCATTTAGAGTACGGAATATAAAACCAAACTTAATACCATTTAGTTCATTAAATATCCACGCAATACGAATGCAAAAGGCGCTAGTGTTGCAACTCAAGAGTACGAAATTTCACAATGTCAATGTCGATCGATTGGAATTGGATTCAAGAGTAAGCACCCTGGTCTGATATTTGGTACACACTCTTAATCTTGACGACCATACAATATAATCTAATTGTGTCCACAACTACCTCTATTATGGATATCAAACGAAAGAGCTTCATTTGTAGAATAGAGCTCGTTAAAATATTTTTTATCTATAACTTGTTTAACAATTAATTTATGAAATATTCTCTCGTATTCCACAGTTCTATTCCTGGGCACAGTACTGGGACAGCCGTGCCCGCAGCCGGAGCCCCAGTTCCCCTGCCCCTGTCCCGCCCCAGAGCCTGTCCCCTGCAACCCCTGTGATGGAGCAGCTCAACAGATTGGCCCCTGCAACCCATGCGAGCCCCCTGTCAACTATGTGTATGGTCAGGCCCCCGTTGGTAAGTAAAGTCATCTAACGACTTGGCGAGAAGAAGTATCAGACTCTTACTGACTAAAATCCACCCAGTTCTAACCAGAGCCGCGGTAAACCGCTAAGACGTGTGCAGCTCTGGGTCTTTATCTAAGTTGTAATTGTTTTTTTTTATTTAACGAGCAGACGGATCACCTGATGGTAAGCAATCGGCATCGCCCACGGACACCTGGAACACCAAAGGCGTTACAAGTCCGTTACCGGCTTTTTGGGGATTAGGAGTTTGAGGATCGTTGGGGATTCAGCGATTGGGGTGATTGGGGAAGGGGAGGGTAATTGGGCCTCCGGTAACCTCACTCACACGATGAAACACAACGCAAGCGTTGCATCACGTCGGTTTTCTGTGAGGCCGTGGTATAACTTCGGTCGAGCCGGCCCATTCGTGCCGAAGCATGGCTCTCCCACACTTTTATTTATTGATTCTTATCATAGAATTTGTTTGTTTGAACGCGTTTTCCGAAACTTTTGGTCCGAATTGAATAATTGTTTTTGTGTTGGTTAGTCAATTTATCGAGGGAGGCCATAAGCTATAACATATCTTTAAGAGGAGTCGTGCATTGAGTGAAAATGTGAAGCGGAATCTTGCAACTAAATGTTGTAGCAGATATCTTCAACCGATTGAACTGAAATTTTATATACACGTTTAGTTTACATGACCCAATAAATGATGTAATTTGTCGTGAGATCTAGGTATACTAAAGTATTTAGTTTTTTTTATATTTCAAGCTTCATTCCTCCACAGGTTCAATCCTAATCAGGCCAGGACAGATCCGGTTCCCAACACCACCCCCAATCTTGGTCCGTCCTGGTGAGATTAGGCTGCCGACACCTCCCGCGATCTGGGTCAAACCTGCCCCAGTTCAGCCCCCTACCCCATCGCCCATCACTGTCCGGCCACCACCCGTCCAGCCACCGACTCCTGCTCCCTTCTACGTGAGAGTTCCACCAGTGAATCCTCCGCAACCACCTCCATTGATCGTCCGACCTCCACCTGTGTCTGTGCCGCGATCAGCACCAATGAGGGTGAGTAATCATATCTATTGCTATCTATGTATATCATAACATAACATCACGCCTTTTATCTCTGAAGGTGTAGGTAGAGGTGCACATTACGGCAGTTAATGCGACTGTACAATGTAACACCCACTTTTCACTATTTATGTTATGAGTCTCATGTAATAGAGGATGAGCCTATTGCCACATACCAAGCACAATTCCAGACTCAGTGCTTCTACTGAGAAAAACCCAGTAATAGTTTGCCCGACTCGGGAATCGAATCCGAGACCCCCTGTCCGGGAGTTGTGACCACTCGGCCAACGAGGCGGTCTTTGTATATATGTTACTGTAAAAGCTCGAATTACGGCAAATCTTAAGATTTAAGTGTAAGTCTTAGGATTTACCGACATGAGTTGGTAAATGTTAGTATTTCTGAAGATACGACGATTTTTTCGAGCTGCTACCATTCGAACTCAGTATATGCTAGGTTTTACCACTGTCAGCTGGTAAATGTTGATTTTAGGAATAAAACAATGAGTAATTCTTAATTATTTACTTTGAACTATTAGACAAAACACCTGTTTTTTCTAATAGTATGTACCTACATAGTATTATTAAGATATCATAATAATAGTAACAAGTACAAACTAATATCAACTTAATTAAATTATTTTGAGACGTGAGAGAATGAGACGGTGCGCGGGTAGTGAGGGCGGCAAGCTACAAGTCGATGCGCTGAGCACGTTATGACATGTTTTGTTTTTCAACATTTAGCATGCCATTGATGTAAAACCTAAGATTTACCAACGGAATGGTGGTAAAAGTTCAAATCGCAAATCTTTTTGGACATTTACCACTAGGAATTGGTAGATCTTAGGTTTTACTGGAATATCTTAGGATTTACTGCAGTTCGAGCTTTTACAGTAACATATACACCGTGGAATCTATTTCGTTTCCGTCCCGCGGCAAAACAACTCGCCATAAGGACTACTTTCGATGTATAAAGTAAAAACAAAAAAAACTAAAATGTCGTTTTTATAGTCGATAAAATTTTTCACGGCAATACGCACATGAAACACTAGACGTAGATCTGTAGGCAGTATTCGCATCGCATTCGTTTTATTAACGAAATACTAGATTTTTATTTATGGTGGACTTTTGGTGGAAAACTAATACATCTCCATATCTCCCAGGTACAACCACCACCAGTCCAGCCACCGGTACCAGATGCGCTAGTAGTCCGACCACCGAAGATCGTCGTCCCAGCACCCCCCACCATCTGCTTCAAGCCAAACCCCCCACAGAACTTCAGGACCTTGGGAGCTGCCACAGTCTGCCGTCTAAGTAACCAGAATGATGGTGGAGCAGGTTGTTCCTCCTGTTGTGCTCCACCCTGTGTGCCACAGTGCCCCTCACCGTGCCCTCCCCCGTGTCCCCCGCCGTGCCCCC